CCAACGTGAACATGAACAGACTATGGAGTGAGCGAGCCTGGTTCAAAGCCTGCCCCGCTGTCCCCAGCAGCGTGTCCCTGGGGCTAGGCTCCTCGCCGCATGAGCGCCCTCATCTGGAACATGCTCTTAACAATAGTTAGCTGCCCCGCCACGTGGCTCTGGGAAGTGAATGCAATAATCCACATATAGCGCTCAGCCCAGGCCCTGGCGTTTGCTACGTTCTCACTGCATGTTAACAATAATAAGAATCAGGGCGAGTAGAATAACCTGATGGCCCCAGGCTGTGTCGGCCCGTGGGTGTCCGAGCAGTGGAGCAGAATCGCTGGCTCGGAGCTGCTGTTTCCGAATACAGTCCTGCCTGAACTTCAGGGGGTGGATGAGAGGGAATGGAGACCCCCACTCCCATCCCCCAGAGCAAAGCCCTCTGTGGCCTCCTAGCCTTCCTTGTCTTTCAAAAGCTATTGTTGGATGTGTTGGCCCCTTTCTTTCCAGGCTGGGGCTGGCACACTCAGGTGACCTCCGCGGAAGCAAGCAGCCTCCTCTCTGTGCCCGAAGGTGACCTCCTTTGGTCCTAGGGCAGTGCCCAGGCCTTGGGGGCAGGCAGATGCCTCTACGCAGGACCTCCAGGTGGCTGCGATAATTTCAAACGAGGGTTTGTTTTTCATTAAAGTCATTGCCAATTCTCTCCTGGAGGTGGCGTCGGTCCACCTGTCCAGAGGGTCCCCCCGCCCTGCCAGGACCAGTGTATCCTCCAGTGTATCCTTCACTCTGGGCTTCGATGTGGCATGTGGCCACAAGAGGCCTTCAGGAGGGGACATGAGAAACGCAGGCCGGCGTGCCTGTGCACTCTGTGAAGGGAGGACGGGTGATGGCAGAGGACCTCCCTGAAAATGCCGATTTTAATTTTCTCTGTCAGCTCAGAGCTCTCTCAGGCTCTTTTGGCTGAGAACATGTCTGATCCAGCATCCTACCCCAATGCTCCAGGACACCGGGGCCATCGTGGCCCGGGGAGGTTGAGACACTTCCTCTTCTCCAAGGAGTCATCTCCTCATTCCGTATTTCTCGCCCTCTTCTCCTAGTACGTCCACGTTCCACACTCAGCCTTTCTTCCCGGCCACCCTGCTCTACCTTCGGGAGGCAAGGGGAAGGGCTGGTGCCAGGTCATGGCCAAGGTGTGGTCAGTGTGGGCACAGGAAGGGGTTCAGGTCAAGGCTGGTGGCCTTGGGCCTGGAAGAGTCAGCAAGGCACAAGCTGGGACTGCTTCTGCCACCTCCGGCACTCTACTAAAAGCATTGTAAATGCCTCCGGTCCTTAGTTTGGGAGCCACGGATACAGAAGGGACGAGATGGTGTGTGGCAGGTTCTACGTACTGCTCGCTGGGGAACTGGAGTCGAGGGACGATTGGAAATTCAGCCTGGCCAAAGCCCAGCATCCTAGGGCTGGAGGAAGGTCAGTCTGCGCCCTGGGATGCAAGTTCCCAAGTCTGGGGACCATGGCCAGGGCTCTGGCTCAGGCAGGCCCCAGGGCAGGAGGCCTCTGTTTGGCTGTGCCATTGTCACAGGTGGCTTTGGGCATCCTTGCCAACTCTCCAAGGGGCAGCCCTACCAGGCCTGTGCTCTGGGAACTGGCAGGGGGGCCTGAGTCAGCAGAGGGCAGTCTCTGTACCCATTGATCTGCCATTCAACTCACCCTGAGCTCTCTCTCTCCTTCCCTGCAGCCAGGCCAGCACGCCACGCCCAGCCCCCACCTGGCTGTGTACACTGGGACCTGCGTGCCCCCATCACCTTCCAGCCCCTTCTCCCCATCCTGCCGCTCGCCCCGGAAGCCCTTCCCCTCACCCAGCCGCTTCATCAGGCGACCCAGCATCGCCGTCTGCCCCTCACCCATTAGGATGGCCTTGGAGGGCTCCTCGGGCTCGGAGCAGAAGCGGGAGGCTTGCGGATCCAGTTCTCGCCAAGGGCCCTCCGACTGCGACACCAGAGAGGCCTCCACCGACTGCCCCTGGCCCCGGCCCCTGCCCAGGACCCCTCCCAAGGCCCGCATGGCTCTGTCCTTCAGTAGGCTTCTGAGACGAGGCTGTTTAGCCTCACCGGTCTTTGCCAGGCTCTCGCCCAAGTGCCCCTCTGTGTCCCATGGGAAGGTGCAGCCCCTGGGGGATGGGGGCCAGCAGCTGCCACGGCTGAAAGCCAGGAGAGTGACAAAGTAAGAACTAGAGGGGACTGTGCTGTGAATGTTCACATATGTCTGTGGGTGTGTGCATGTGTGTACACGTGCGCACATATGTCTGTGGTATGTACACGTGCGTATGTGTGCACACATGTCTGTGGCTTTGCGCATCTGTTTATATGCGTCCCTATGTCCGTGGGTGAACGCATGCGTGTATATGTGTCCTTATGTCCGTGGGTTAGTGCACGCATGTATATGTGTACATATGTCTGTGGGTTAGTGCACACATGTGTCCCTATGTCTGTGGGTGTGCGCATGCGTGTATATGCGGCCCTATGTCCGTGGGTGAGCGCATGCGTGTATATGTGTCCCTATGTCCGTGGGTGAGCGCACGCGTGTATATGTGTACATATGTCCGTGGTGAGTACGACTATTGATTCTTCCCATTTGGTGTTCCTCCTGGACCCCTCCCCTGCCTTTCCTCTTGCGCCCGAAGCTTTTTCCAGATCAGAATGGATGTGCCTGTGGAGAGTGGGACCTGCCTGATGGACTCGGAGGACACCGGAACAGGAGAATCGGGTGACCAGGCCATCAAAAAGGAGGTCATCTGTCCCTGGGAGAGCCAGGCCGAGGGGAAAGCTGGCTGAGCGGGCACCTTGGACCAGGCGGGCGATCCTGGCAGACTCCACTGGGTGGGGCCACCAGACACGCTCTCGAACCGAAGTGCATTAAGACCATACTTGAGGGGCCGGTGACACAACGTGGGGTGGATTACGGGGCAGAGTGTCTGTCTGGGCTCCCAGTGGCCGACGCCTTCCTTCCCCTGACCTTCCCTCTTTTGGGCAGAAGAAAGGCACGTGGACAACAGAACTTTACTTGCTGCCTTAAAAATGATCAAAGGTTAACTCGGGAGAGTCTCTTGGATTGATTGGATGTCAGTCTTTGTCTGGTTTTCTTAGTTATTTATGAGCTATTATTTATGAGTCATTTCTAAGAACTCCCTCCCTGCCTAAATTGGTTTATGCACGATGCTTTTATCAACGGACTTCCCCTGGGGGATGCCCCAGGATGTGGCATCATATAGAAAAGGGGACGGGGCTGGAGAAAAGCGTTCTTCTAGAATGCTAAGTGTGTTATTCAGATCCACCAAGAAGCACATGCCAAGATGGGGTTAGGACGAAGAGCAGGAGAGGAGGAGGGAGCGGGGCCTTCGGACCATGATGCTGGGCTGACCTCTGGGGACGGGGAAGAGGCGAGGAGTCTCAGATGGCAATGCAGTTTCAAGAAAGTTTTGGCCAGGCTGCTGGGGTGTCCCTCAGCCAAAGTCACTGTTGGTCCTGTGTCTTGTGGGAATGGTTCTGCATTTGTACCCCCAGTATGCAAAGTCATCGTCTGGGAGCACCTGTGGGAAGCCTGGACCTGGCATGGTCATGCTAGCGGCCATTATTCCATGTGTTCCCTACAGCAGAGATGCGAACGCACACTGTCACATCAGCTGTACCAATCCAGTAGGCACTTCTGGGGGTTCGGGCCTTGGTGCACCCCTCCTGCCTCTTCTCCAGCTCTTTATTAAGCCCCTAGTATGTGCCAGGCACTGTGCTAGGCCCTGAGGATGCAGCTGTGACTCCTTGCTTCCCAGAATTCATCTAGAACAGTGGTTCTCAACTAAGGGGCAACTTTGCCCCCAGGGGACATTGAGCAGTTTCTGGAGACAGCTTCAATTATTAAGAGTAGGTGGAGAACACCACTGGCATTTAGTGGATGGAGGCCAGGGATGCTGCTAAACATCTCACGGTGCCCAGGACAGCCCCCTGCCCCTGCACAACGAAAGATGATCTGGTCCAATACCAGCACCACTTTGAGAAACGGTGAAATAAATGCTAGTTATATCCTCCGCTGCAGGGCATGTGCCCCCATCATTTGTTTCCAAAGCATCGCCCCGAAAGGTCGTGCTGGGATCATATTTGGACTCGACAGTGGGCTGAGATTAAGGGTTACATGGTGAGTAAAACATGTCTTAAAAGCTGCATGGAAAGTCGTCAGAGGGAAAAAAACAATCCAAGTGGCTTGCCAAACCGCTCATTCTGCCCCTCTGCTTTAACGCCCGGCTTCATCAGAATTCAATTAGTAGATAAGAGCCCCTCGCTTGCTTTAACCTTGGACAGCTTACCTGAGTCCAGAAATACTGGGCTGCTGAGTCCTCTCTCCGCTCCGTTCTCGTGATGAATGGTGAGTAGGTGCACGGCCAAAACCTGGACTTGCTGACGCTGTAAGAAAACAGATGCTTCGATACTGAGAGAACATTGCATTTTAGATTCTACAGAGTCCGCTCCTTTGGGCTCACAAAGGAGTCAGTCATCCAGGGGTGAGGAAACTTTTCTCCAAGAGAGTAAGTGAAAGAGGCCAGATCTTTCTTGGAAGATCGAGCGGGCCAATTAATTTGATGTCTTTCTTTGCAAAGCTGGTCTCACATGAGATTAAAGGCATAGTAATCCATAACCTTCGTCTGCCGGCAGCCAGTGTGTCTGGAAATAAGGAGGATCTCTGCCCTGAACTTGTGCCTTGGTGTTACGGGGCTCCATTCCTAAGCCCCCAGGGTCCTAAAGAGAAACCAAGTTCGTGTGGGTCCCCAGCATCAATGACCAGAGGCTGCAGGATTCGCAGGTTGGATTAGTTAAGGTCCAGGCTAAAGTTACGAAGAGACCCTGGAGGGAAGGCCCCAGTGCAAACGCACAGGCAGGAAGCAGTTGGGCCGGTGGCATCCGGGGACCAATATTTTTCCTACCTTGTTGCTCCACTTACCTCCTAGTCACTGGTATAATGATTCTCCATCTCGTTTGGACATTAGGCTCCTCTGGGGGCCCTTGGAAGATCTCAGTACCCAGGACACACCTAATTCAATCACATCAGACTGTCTAGAGGCAGAGCATCAGGAGGTTTTCTAGAGCCTTCCACAGCACCTAGGCTTGTCCCGCCCACGTGCTAAGCACCTCATTTGGACTGGGTACCCACTGTTTTATTCTCAGCCTTTGGGGCCGCCACAGAAATGGAGACAAAACGCCCTATTTCAACATCCCATTACATTTGTCATGGTTTCAGGAATGTGGTCACTTTCCTGCTCCTGAAAATCTACAAGCAGAATAATTTCTCCAGGAGTCCTTACGGTTGTCTCTTTGTCCTGTGGGGAGGGGACCCTTGGTGGCCCACTTGAGGCTGTGAAATCATTGAGCCTGAGAGGGGACAGTGCCGTCCCTTGCTTATTTGCTAGGGAAGAGAAGAAGGAGAATCTTTAAGGAGTCTGTACTGGCCAAGTTCTCTGGGGGTCCCTAAGAGCCTAGAATGTGAGCTGGGAGGGGACAGGGGACCTATGCTCACCTCTCTGCCTCTGAGGCCCAGCTCTCCTCTCTGGGCACCATCTCCTCCTCCCACTTCACCAGAAGAGGGAGTCCGAGGCTCACGGATCTCCCAAGACAGGTGGAAGGATTTCCCCTAAGGGATTCAGAGACCTGTGCTGAGGGACTCGGAGAGAGGTACTTTCCTCTGGATTGGCGGCAGAAAAAACCACGTCTCCCTTGTACACATTGTCCCCCTGTCTCCAGTCCCAGAGCCCCTGAAACTGGCCGAGGGGGGCCCCCCCGAGAGAGAAGCCTCTTGCTGGGCATCGGTGCCCCCAGCGCTGCCCTTGGCTATGGCGTCCCCTGCAGGGTTCTCCCGGCTGCTGTGCCCTGACGGGGACCAGGGGCCAATGCTTTCCGTTCTTAGCGGCTTTGGGTGAGGGGTGAGGCTCTTTGCAGAAAAACTCCTGCAGAAAACAAAAACAAAAACAAAAACTCCTTCTCTGGCGTGCAGAGTGCAGCCAATAGAATTCTGCCCTGTGAATGTCGTCTCTGTGTCAAGCTCTGACTCCTGGGACTGAAAGCTGATTAAGCCTCGTTTATCTTGTGCTCCTCAGTGTGCGTGATTTGCCAGCTCCCGTCGAGCAGGTGAGGCTGGAGGGCTGGGGCACCCGCAGGGGCCAGAGGAGGGATATGTGTATATAGAGGGCAAATAAATGGTTTCAGAAATCAAGCTTTTCAACTTCTCTGCCGATGCGAGGGATGCGTGTATGGTCACATGACAGGGGGTGGAGGGAGGAGCAGGCTCACTTCTCAAGAAACAGAACAAGGGTATTTGAGGCCCCTGTGAGTAGGGGGAGGGTATGAGGGACAGCTGGGTCGGGGGTGGGCGCTGGTCACGCCAGCATCAGCCATGTCTGCGGAGGGGAGGGAGTTTGCTGGTGTGTGTAAAGGTGTGTGAGCACGCCGGTATGTGTGAGTGTGCAAGCACCCAGGGCCACCCGTGTGCACCCTACTCAGTGCATGCACGCAGTGTCTGTGTGGTGCATCCGTGGGACGCTGTGGACGTGGGTCTGGCACTGGCCTCAGTGGGGACACGAGGCACACCCCAACACAGCAGTAACTCAGCGATGAACTTGGAGACTGTGGTGTACTCGGAAAGCATCACAGGATGTGTTCTTGCGAAGGGAGATGTTTATGAAGAACATCTCTGCCTCCCTGACCCCACAATGTTTAGGAAGAAGTGAACACAGCATGTTAGACAAGGGTGCTGGGGTCACTGAGGTTCCACGGACAAGCAAGACCAACGCTACGATGTCGGCTGGCCCCGGGCTGAATCACAGCAGCTGTCTTCTCTGACCATTTAGAAAGAAGTCCTTTTTCACAGTTCATCTTCCAAGCAGCTTCTGCACCCCCCGTGTCTCCTCCTTAACCAAGTTGTCTCGTCCTGGATTCTTGACCTTGGGGAGTTAGGGATTCGGACAACCGCAGTGTAAAGGCTCCCACTTAAGCAGTCGCTCCGTGAACCCCTCCATTAATCCCCATGTGGTGTGGGGATAGCATCACTGCCCTCGTTCTGCAGATGTGATTTCCCCACTTATAACTGGTGGAAGCTCCAATCAAAGATTAATGCACTTACTTTTCTGCGTCTATGTGTATGTTAAATATATTTAAATTTTGGAATTAAAAAAAATACAGAAAAACACAGCGAATAATATAACAAACATCCACCTCCACGTCACCTCGAATTGACTCATGATATTTTGCCCTCATTATTTCTGATGTTTATAAAAAGGCAAAACAATATCCCTATCTTGCTCACCCCCATGTGAATGTAATTAATGCCACGGAATTGTACACCGAAAGGTTAAAACGGCAACTCTGTGTCATGTTTATTTTACCACAATAAAAAAAAAAAAAAGGAAAAACCATTCTTTCCACCAGGGCCATATAAAAACAGGCAGATGACTGGATTTAACTCTGGGGCCGAAGTTTGCCAGCCTTTGTTCTCTGTTATTACTAGTTACATTATAATTTTAAACAAATGAGTCATTATGATTGTCATTATTGTATACTATAGGCGATGCTTATTTAGCTTCAACGGTGTTTACCCAACTCCGCTCGTCATTGTTCCTAGGATCCCATCTCTTCCTTCTAGATACGGTTTTCTTTGTACTGCTGTGTATCCTTTAGTGATTCTTTCACTGATGGCTTTGAGAAGTAAACTGAGTTTTTTCTTCCTGAAACAGTCTTTATTTTACCCTCATTACTATTTTACTATTTCCATCTTTACTATTAAATGATCGTTTAGC